TATCACAAGGGGAGATTCATTGCTACACAGGTAGGAGCCAACAAGGGGAAAGGCTGAGTGCGGCTTGCTGTTCACTCACACTTCTCTTCCATAGCCATGGTTCCTTATGAAGGGTTTTGAAAGCTCAAAAGAAGAATTGCAAAGGATGAAATCTGCAAGGGGCTTGAAACAAGCAAGCAAACAAGCAGAGACACAGCCTGACAAAATAAAAGAGCACAAAACGAGCACGCAAACGAGCAAGCAAGCAGGCAGGCAGGCAGGCAGGCAGGCAGGCAGGCAGGCAAGCAGGCAAGCAGGCAAGCAGGCAAGCAAGCAAGAAAGCACAAAACTGACAAGAAAGTGTTCATACTACTAAACACAATGACTCAATAACCGCCTGAGCCGATCGATAAACATAGAGAAATAACACTAACAAAAGAAAGACGTAAATAAAGAAAGAAACAAAGAAAGACAGAAAGACAGAAATAATGGAGAAAGAAAGAAGACAAAAAGAAAGAAATAAAGAAAGAAACAAATAAACTCAAGAACTACAGAATGAAACAAAGATGACAACCTCCCGTATCGAGTGGGTTGGCCTGAACTTTTTATTTGCCACTAAAATGGTCTTCCCAAACAGTTTAAAGTTCATGAACTCAGGAAGTGAGCAACAAGAACATAGACATAATCTATAGCACCAGAAATACACATAGATTGACAAATGCATCATGTAACAATTGTGTGCAGTAAAACACATAACGCAAATACAGAAAGACACACACACACAACAAGAACAACACATCTATTGTTTAAATATTTCATTTGCTTCTCCGCATCCAATTCGGGGAAGGGACTGGAGTTGGGTGCCAGGATTCTGTTCACCAACAGCTAGACAAAACTCAGAAGAACCACCAGCGAGCTTGCTTCTGCCTACCTGCTTGCTTGATTGTTCAGCAGTTCATCCACGTGGCAGCTCAGGTCATGTAGCAAGCTAGCTCTTTTCATCCTTTCCGCCAGCCATCCAAAAAAAGACGGCACGTTGGTTGGCTGAATTTCTGGGAAACAAATCACCAACAAGGCGCTTGACCCTGGGCAACATGTTGATATCTGCGGATCAGCGTGACGCATGTTCCTGGGCGGCTGGGAGTGGCGATTTGTTTTTACATAGATTTGGTGTGACTTGTGAATTTGCACACTATTTGCACACATCAGGCGTGGGGAAAAACATGTAGCGGCGACCACCCCAAAAATGGCGCTTGTTCTTTTGGCGTTCCTTGCAAAACCACCCAAAAAAATGGGTACCCACCCATCTTCCCTCGCCCATCTCTTTTCCCGTCGGATGCTTTTCTCGCGGCCCGCTGGGATCGGCCCCTGGGCACTCCGATCGCTCGCGGCCGATACGTTCGCTCGATTCGAGTTGCATCCGAAGCCCTCGAAAGTGAAGTGCGAGTAGGGAATGAGGGAATGAACCTGGGGATTTTCCGCTAGGAAACCATGGGGCATGGTTCATAGGGGTCATTCCCTTAAAGGAAACCAGAGGGGATGGTTTATAAGGGTCATTCTCTCATTCCCTGAGCACCAGCAACACGTCATGGGTCTCCCGATCGGTGAATCAACTTTGACGCGGTTCATTTGGAGGCATAAATTTACACGTCAAGGATCCCTCCAAGGAATCACTCCGTAAAGGGTGAATGTTGCAGGTTGGACAATTTGACGACCCTTTTTGGCGACCGCTTCACAAAATGGCGCAACATGTTACGCGGGTTCCCAAGGAGGGATGCTGTGACAACCCATGTGAATACATACTGGCAAAAAGTTGGGTCAGTTTCAGCTGTGCTGTGAGATGAAGTTACCCGAACTTGCATTCAGAGATTGCCTGAGAGTGGTTCCTACTTGATACAGATTCAATTCCCCAAATGTTGCCAGTGGAAATCAGAAGCATTCAGCAGTTTGTCCCATGCTTGGCGGTTGGTTGCGCTTGAATGTCTGCTATCAAGAGTATCCTGGCTCTTTGCTCTCAATGCCCTAAACACCCGTCACAGCTACGGTCAGTACCGTCCGGAGACCCTTTCCAGGGTCTCAAGTAGCGAATACATAAGGCCATGGCAGGGTTTGTGTAGCGAATCGCGAATCCAGCCTGGTTTGTTTGTGGTCCTGGGTAAATGACATGTGTAGCAATGCTGACATGCACCGACCTATACTCGGTTGCTTTCTGCTCCCCTGCTCAAAGTTGATTTTTTTTCGTGGTTTCATGGAAAACCCACTAGTTGGCAAAAACTTACAGTCCCATCCAAGCAACATGCACCAAAGTACATGCGGACGTACGTCTTGAGGGAAGAAGCTACGGGTGGGAGTCAGAGGAGTCGAGTACCTAGGACTGAGTTACCCGATGGAAGCCAGTGGCATCTTGGAGCACGTGGGAGTTTCGTCTTCCAGGCAGGGGTGGGGGGAAGGTTAGCCCTACGTCAAGATAAGACAGTTAAGGAGTTCAGGGAGGTTCCCGAAATCGAAAGTTGCTTCGTTCGCAGTGGGCCATTGAACTCATTGAAACTCAGCATCTCTCTCCGAGACGCGGCCCCTCGGTCATCGGCTTCGAATGACTTCGCCCCAGGATCTCGATGTCCTAAGTCGAGATCAGCCTAGAAGTGGGGCTGAACACAAACATATGACACCCGCAAGAACATCCCAACAGAACATCCTGAAACCTCCTCAACAGTTATATCACATTCCATACCTGATGTTACCGGAGTCGACCGAATAAAGATGGGCAAACCAAACAAGTGACTTGCTGATTCGTCTTCCAAACGGCATCGACTCGAGGATTCATAGGGAACCTCATTGGTGGCCAGGTGGCCAAGCTGTCTCGGGGAAGAACAACTTCCATCCCCAAATGCAGCTCTTAGAAGCTTCTTGAAAGGCTCTGAGAACGTTGCTGGGGGTGGGTGGGTATCCAAAACGCTGCCGGGGCTGGATGGGTATCCTAGTTGTCCCTCTCGATGACTTGGCTGTCGATTTGTTTGGCCTTTATCATGCTTACCAATTCCCTGGTCGCACGGGGTCTTGGGGGTGGGTGGTTTGTCTGGACAAGCTCCTGATGCTTTGCTGAAGGCCTTGACGGGCTTCAGGGAAAGGTGCGCCTCCTTATATTGTTTTGAGGTGGATGGATAGATTCCTGTCCCAAACCGGAAAGGCTCCGGTCCAGCTGATTGGCCGATGCATGGGGGTGATGTTCATTGGCCGTACCCAAGGCTTTGAGATCATTCGGCGTGAGGACTTCAAGGAGCCTTTACGTGCAAGCACCTTTCATCCCGTGCGGGACTATCTATCGTACCTGTCCATCCCCTTTTGGGACAATTCTCAACCACAAATGGGTTGTCTGTCACCCAACCCCCAAGCTTGCCCGGTTTCTCTCTGAGACGCAGCTTCATCCCAGGGTCTGCGTCCTCGCTGGATCAAGGAAACAGCTATATTATCTGGAGTGTCCGCCCTGTACACAGGGACCGTGACTCATTGCTAAGGGTCTTGCAGAGTCTAGCATGATGCCATTCAGGGTACCCGTTTTGGGGAAAGCAAAACCACGAAATGTTGTTCACATTGCCCTTGAGTGCGGGAAGCCCTGCTTTCTCATCACAGGGTGATGTTGGTCGAACCAGAGAGCAACCAAGTGGCATGGCGCAAAAGCAATTTTGGACAATGCACCTTCCTTTGGCAACGGGCTCCTGTAGACTTTCACATTTGTCGGTGGAAGCATTAGGGGTTCCCGTCAGTCCTTTCCGTCTGTGAGCATTCATCGCTCCGGCAAATGGTCAAACAGATAGGCACAAGACTTGCCTTTGAACCCTCTTCGGACATGAAGCTGCTTCCAAGTGTTGCCCTCGTAAAGCGAATCCCTCCCAAATTTGAGCAATGTCGTCACTCCATGAATTAACACATGCTTTGCAGCGTTTCAACCATGTCTGGATTCAACATTTAAGATTATCACGACTCTAGTATTCGATCTTGAGTCCAGTACTGCTGCAAGCAAAATGCTTCAAAGCGCGCTGTAAAGCATTCTGGATTGAAGATTCAATATTCTCAGGACTCTAGCTGTCAATTTTAATATTGCATCCAAGCCTTGTGATTACAGAAAGAAGCGCTTTGGAGTGCTTGAAAACGATCGGAGCCTGGCTGGATTCAGTACTCAAGATGGGATCTAGAGTCAGGGTTGAAGATGCAAAGCCGCCCAGGTCTATCTCACGGGCTGAACAGGTGGGTTTTGAAGGCGTTGCCTAATGTTGCAATCCAATCAGGGAGACCTGATGATTGTATCTGAAATCAGCCCACTCTGGCGATGGCCAACCGTCTGTGCATATGGGAACATCATGTTTCGAAAGTAGCTACTGGCGATTTGGTCGATCCAACCGACTCATCCGGGTTTACATTGCTTTGCGCCCAGGCGAGCTCGGGATCATAGGTCAAAAACCACGGCATCACGGGGCGACCCAGATGTGTTTTGCCACCCGTTTTTGCACCTCCAAACTCTGATTTGTTGTAACTCGCAACAGTTTGTCCGTCTTACCACTGTGGACTTGTGTCTGAGAGTTAGCTTTTTATCTTTCATTATCTTTCTCTTTCTCCATGATAATCCACTCTTATCTGTTTACAACTTATTTATCCATCCTTCATTCATGTCACAAATAATCTTGAATAGGGCTCTAAAAAACACGGGTCCCCGGGGCCACCACTTCCCCCTCAAGCATCACAAAGAGGACATGGTGAAAGTGGCAGAAACGCGATGTTACGGTTTAAAAAGGGAAACACGTTTCTCAAAATCCGCCGACAACAGACGGCGTGTTGGACATAAAAAATGCCTTACCTCTTTACCTGTTACCCCTCCCCCAACCCCTCCCCAGGGGCACCATTTCAGACTATTGCGGGGGGGGGGAGGGGGGGTTCCCCGGGTGCGCTTTCGCATCCTTAGCAGCTCCAGCGGCACATCGCCAGCATCACCTGCACCATCCGCATCAGCGCCTGCCAAGGATCCGGATGATGCAAGTGATGCTGGGGATGTTGCCTATGCTGGTGAAGGAAATGAAGGGGGAAAAAGGGGGAAAGGATCTCAACAGCGAAAGGGGGGGAAAGATCTCAGGGAGGAAAGGGAGAAGATCTGGGGAAAAAATGCCTTAAGGGGGAAAGGGGGGAAAAGATCTTTGGGAGGAAAAGGGAAATCTTTCTCGGGGGGAATAGGCCCCAAGGGGCAATGGGGGAACAGGATCTCAAACGGGAAAGGGGGAAAAAGACTTTGGGAAGAGAAGGGTGGAGATCTTGGGGGGAAAAGGCCTTAGGGGGGAAACGGGGGAAAGGATCTTCAGCGGGAAAGGGGGGAAAAGATCTTTGGGAGGCAAAGGGAGACGAACTCAGGGAAAAGGACTTAGGGAGGGGGAAAGATCTTTGGGAGGAAAAGGGACAAGAACTGAGGGTGGGAAAAGGCCTTAGAAGGAAAAGGGTGGAAATAAATGATCTCAACAGGGAACTGGGGGGGGGGAAAGATCTTAGGGAGGAAAGGCAGAAGATCTGGGGCAAAAAGGCCTTAGGGGGGAAAGGGGAGAAATGATCTCAACAGGGAAAGGGTGGGAAAGATCTTAGGGAGGAAAGGGGGGGGGGGGGAAGATCTTAGGGAGGAAAGGGAGAAGATCTGGGAGAAAAGGACTTAGGGGGGAAAGCCCAACAGGGAAAGGGGGGAAAAGATTTAGGAAGGAAAAGGGAGAAGCTCTCAGGGGGGGGAAAGGCCTTAGGGGGGAAAGGGGGAAAAGGATCTCAGCAGGGAAAGGGGGGGGGGGAAGATCTTAGGGAGGAAAGGGAGAAGATCTGGGGACAAAGGCCTTAGGGGGGAAAGGGGAGAAATGATCTCAACAGGGAAAGGGGTGGAAAAGATCTTAGGGAGGAAAGGGAGAAGATCTGGGGGAAAAAAGGCCAACAGGGAAAGGGGGGAAAGATCTAAGGAAGGAAAAGGGAGAAGCTCTCAGGGGGGGAAAGGCCTTAGGCGGGAAAGGGTGGGAAGGATCTCAACAGGGAAAGGGGGGAAACAATCTTAGGAAGGAAAAGGGAGAAGATCTGGAAAGGCCTTAAAGGGAAGGGGGGAAAGGATCTCAACGGGGAAAGGGGGCAAAGGATCTTAAGGAGGAATAGGGAGAAGATCTAAGCGGGGGGAAAGGCCTTGGGAAGGAAAGGAGGGAAAGGATCTCAACAGGGAAAGGGGGGGGGGAAAGATCTCAGTGAGGAGAGGGAAAAGATCCCAGGCAGGGAAAAGGCCTTAAAGGGGGGGGGAAAGGATCTCAACAGGGAAAGGGGGCAAAGGATCTTAAGGAGGAATAGGGAGAAGATCTAAGCGGGGGGAAAGGCCTTAGGAAGGAAAGGAGGGAAAGGATCTCAACAGGGAAAGGGGGGGAAAGATCTCAGTGAGGAGAGGGAAAAGATCCCAGGCAGGGAAAAGGCCTTAGGGGGGAAAGGGGGAAAGGATCTCAACAGGGAAAGGGGGCAAAGGATCTTAGGGAGGAAAAGGGAGAAGATCTGAAAAGGCCTTGGGGGGAAAAGGGGGAAAGGAGCTCAACAGGGAAAGGTGGGAGAAGATCCTAGGGAGGAAAAGGGAGAAGATCTCGGGGGGAAAGGGGGACAGGATCTCAACCAAGGGAAAAGATCTTGGGGAGGACAAGGGAGAAGATCTCAGGGGGGGAAAGGCCTTAGGGGGGAAAGGGGGGAAAGGATCTCAACAGGGAAAGGGGGCAAAGGATCTTAGGGAGGAAAAGGGAGAAGATCTTGGGGGGGAAAACGCCTTAGGGGGGAAAGGGCGGGAAAGGATCTCAACAAGGAAAGGGGGGAAAAGATCTTAGGAAGGAAAAGGGGGAAGATCGCGGGGGGAAAAAAGGCCTTAGGGGGGAAAGGAGGGAAAGGATCTCAACAGGGAGAGGGGGGAAAACATCGTAGGGAGGAAAAGGGAAAAACTCAGAGGGAGAAAGGGCCTTAGGGGGGAAAGGGGGAATGGATCTCAACAGGGAAAGGTGGCAAAAGATCTTAGGGAGGAAAAGGGAGAAGATCTCAGCCTTAGGGGGGAAAGGGGGGAAAGGATCTGAGCAGGGAAAGGGGGGGAAAGATCTTAGGGAGGAAAGGGAGAAGATCTGGGGGCAAAGGCCTTAGGGGGGAAAGGGGAGAAATGATCTCAACAGGGAAAGGGGTGGAAAAGATCTTAGGGAGGAAAGGGAGAAGATCTGGGGGAAAAAAGGACAGCAGGGAAAGGGGGGAATGATCTAAGGAAGGAAAAGGGAGAAGCTCTCAGGCAGGGAAAAGGCCTCAGGGGGGAAAGGGTGGGAAGGATCTCAACAGGGAAAGGGGGGAAACAATCTTAGGAAGGAAAGGGGGGGGGGGAAGATCTTAGGGAGGAAAGGGAGAAGATCTGGGAGAAAAGGACTTAGGGGGGAAAGCCCAACAGGGAAAGGGGGGAAAAGATCTTAGGAAGGAAAAGGGAGAAGCTCTCAGGGGGGGGAAAGGCCTTGGGAGGGAAAGGGGGGAAAGGATCTCAACAGGGAAAGGGTGGGAAAGATCTTAAGGAGGAAAGGGGGGGGAAGATCTTAGGGAGGAAAGGGAGACGATCTGGAAGAAAAGGACTACTTAGGGGGGAAAGCCCAACAGGGAAAGGGGGGAACAGATCTTAGGAAGGAAAAGGGGGGGGAAAGGGGGAAAAGGATCTCAGCAGGGAAAGGGGGGGGGGGAAAGATCTTAGGGAGGAAAGGGAGAAGATCTGGGGACAAAGGCCTTAGGGGGGAAAGGGGAGAAATGATCTCAACAGGGAAAGGGGTGGAAAAGATCTTAGGGAGGAAAGGGAGAAGATCTGGGGGGAAAAAGGCCAACAGGGAAAGGGGGGACAGATCTAAGGAAGGAAAAGGGAGAAGCTCTCAGGGGGGGAAAGGCTTTAGGCGGGAAAGGGTGAGAAGGATCTCAACAGGGAAAGGGGGGAAACAATCTTAGGAAGGAAAAGGGAGAAGATCTGGAAAGGCCTTAAAGGGAAGAAGGGAAAGGATCTCAACAGGGAAAGGGGGGAAAGGATCTTAAGGAGGAATAGGGAGAAGATCTCAGCGGGGGAAAAGGCCGTAGGGGGGAAAGGGGGGAAAGGATCTCAACAGGGAAAGGGGGGGAAAGATCTCAGGGAGGAAAGGGAAAAGATCCCAGGCAGGGAAAAGGCCTTAGGGGGGGAAAGGGGGAAAGGATCTCAACAGGGAAAGGGGGCAAAGGATCTTCCGGAGGAAAAGGGAGAAGATCTGAAAAGGCCTTGGGGGGAAAAGGGGGAAAGGAGCTCAACAGGGAAAGGTGGGAGAAGATCCTAGAAAGGAAAAGGGAGAAGATCTTGGGGGGAAAGGGGGAAAGGATCTCAACCAAGGGAAAAGATCTTGGAAAAAACAAGGGAGAAGATCTCAGGGGGGGGAAGGCCTTAGGGGGGAAAGGGGGGAAAGGACCTCAACAGGGAAAGGGGGCAAAGGATCTTAGGGAGGAAACGGGAGAAGATCTTGGGGGGGAAACGCCTTAGGGGGGAAAGGGCGGGAAAGGATCTCAACAAGGAAAGAGGGGAAAAGATCTTAGGAAGGAAAAGGGGGAAGATCGCGGGGGGAAAAAAGGCCTTAGGGGGGAAAGGAGGGAAAGGATCTCAACAGGGAGAGGGGGGAAAACATCGTAGGGAGGAAAAGGGAAAAACTCAGAGGGAGAAAGGGCCTTAGGGGGGAAAGGGGGAATGGATCTCAACAGGGAAAGGTGGCAAAAGATCTTAGGGAGGAAAAGGGAGAAGATCTCAGGGGGGGAAAGGCCTTAGGGGGGAAAGGGGGGAAAGGATCTGAGCAGGGAAAGGGGGGGAAAGATCTTAGGGAGGAAAGGGAGAAGATCTGGGGGCAAAGGCCTTAGGGGGGAAAGGGGAGAAATGATCTCAACAGGGAAAGGGGTGGAAAAGATCTTAGGGAGGAAAGGGAGAAGATCTGGGGGAAAAAAGGCCAACAGGGAAAGGGGGGAAAGATCTAAGGAAGGAAAAGGGAGAAGCTCTCAGGGGGGGAAAGGCCTGAGGGGGAAAGGGTGGGAAGGATCTCAACAGGGAAAGGGGGGAAACAATCTTAGGAAGGAAAAGGGAGAAGATCTGGAAAGGCCTTAAAGGGAAGGGGGGAAAGGATCTCAACAGGGAAAGGGGGCAAAGGATCTTAAGGAGGAATAGGGAGAAGATCTCAGCGGGGGAAAAGGCCGTAGGGGGGAAAGGGGGGAAAGGGGGGAAAGGATCTCAACAGGGAAAGGGGGGGAAAGATCTCAGGGAGGAAAGGGAAAAGATCCCAGGGAGGAAACGGCCGTAGGGGGGAAAGTGGGGGAAAGGGAGGAAAAGGGAGAAGATCTCACGGGGGAAAAGGCCTTAGGGGGGAAAGGGGGGAAAGGATCTCAACAGGGAGAGGGGGGAAAACATCTTAGGGAGGAAAAGGGAAAAAAACAGAGGGAGAAAAGGCCTTAGGGCGGAAAGGGGGAATGGATCTCAACAAAGAAAGGGGGGCAAAAATCTCAGAGGGGAAGGGGGCAAGGGGACAATTCCAAAGGGACGCAAATAAGAAAGCAGGCCTGTAATGTCGGCGGCCTGAGCCGGAGGCGTTAAAATAGGATCGGGCCTCAAACATGGTTGCTCTCTTTTGTGTTTCCCTTTAGCAACCAAACAGGGTTCCATGCCCACCATTCTGAGAAACTCTCATATTGGGCCACAAATCTGGCAAACTCACCTATTTGGGGTGTGCGATCTATGAAGGGTCCTGTAAAGGTTCCCGCAATCGAGACTGGCGTTTGTTCATGTTCGGGCTGGGCTTCTATTTTTGTAACGCACAGCGGGTTGTAGAACTGAGCAAAGGGCGCCAACCCCGTCAAGTATTTTTTGAAGGCAGCCTGGCTGGCGATGCCGGGCATGCAAAGGGCAGCATCATTGACACCAACAACAGCATCATCATCGCCCCCGTCGTGGTCACCATGATCCTCATCAGCATCATAGTCACCAACACCATCGTCGTCGTCATCATCCGCATTTGTTCTCTAGGGAATTCAATTGCTCCGTTAGGCAGTGTCGCAGCAAAACAAGACAAAGCTGAAGAAGGCTAAAACAAAAACATCAAAAGGCCATCCATTTCCCCAATGGGCGAAACAGGGCGGCAGCCCTGACATATCCTGTGTATGAATGCTTCCCAAAAAAGGGAGCTCCGAGTTGTGAATGTTGTCACATGAAATTAATTGTGTATATTCAACAAAAGGTGGGAACCACATGGTGGTCAAAATAAAATGGGCCACCGCGATTGCTTTAAACAGCCTCCTTTAGTTTCCCTTCGATTGGAAATTCCTAGAGTCTGTTTGTGTTGTCTGCATGTGTGTGTGTGTGTCTTCTTTTGAGGGCACAGTCTTTTTGAGTCGCTTCAAAGAATGTCCTCGAAAGAAGACAACCCCATACCTCCCCTTGCCTAAGTCCCCTGAAAAAAAAAAAACGACAACAAAAAAAACAGTATGTCCAGTGACAGCTTCTCTTCAGAACCAGGGCTAAAACATTTTATTCTTCCAAAAGCAGGCCCCTCAACTTCTTGCAGTGGATTCCAGTGCCAAACAAAAACCACCGGAGCAAAGGGATAGGGCCTCGGGGGCCTGGGCTTTTGTCTCAGATCTGCCAGCTGATCTGATTTTTCTGTTCGCCACAAAACCAAGTCGCACTTGCCCCGGGACCTGGACATAAAAGGTGATCACCTTTTGGGACCTCCACTAAAAATAAAATCCAACACAGGCAAACCAAAAGGTGAAAAGCTCGGTCTTGCACAACTGAGATAACTAAAAAAAACGCAACGGCTCAAAAACGCTGAGGCCCCGGATGCCTGGGCCCCAGTGCACCCGGCCCGCGGCCACGATCCGAGGCGCCGGAAGTCGAGGACCTCGCCCAGGCGCAGCAGCAGCGCGGCGAGGTTCAGCGCCCCCAGCAGCCCCCGGCGCTTCGGAGCCCTCGGGCGACATGGAGCTTGACGTTGGAAGGGGAGCAAAAACCGGAAAGTTTCAGCAGTTCAGTGGATTTGGATTTCCCACTGAAAAATCGGGAAAAATCAGCAGTTCAGTGGGGAATTCCCACTAAAAAGTCGGAAAAAATCGGCAGTTCAGTGGATTTGGATTTCCCACTGAAAAATCGGAAAAAAAATCCAGCAGTTGGGTGGGTTTGCATTTCCCGCTGAAAAATCGGGAAAAAATCGGCAGTTCGGTGGATTTGGATTTCAACCACCAAGCCAGAATAAGCAAAATGTAAAGTGTGTCTCAACAACAACCATGGGGTGTGGGTGTGGGGGGTTTCTTGAGGCTGCGAGGGGTAGGAAAATTGCACATGTGGAAAGGAACCCAGGCTTTGGTGGTTTTCACCAGCAAGGGATGGGTTCAGATCTCCATAGGCGCGATGGGTAGGGAAGGAAAGGGACCAACACGTGATTTGTTGTACCCTTGTTTGTCTTGTGGGGGGGGAGGGCCCCGATTTGGACAGCACAGACCCCGTGATCAAAGTCCTTGTTGGAGCCCCTTTTCAACATGGAATCAAACATACCCTAACACGTCAAATCGAAAAGCACCAAACCAGCTCACTCTTGAACCCCCCTCTTCCCAAGCTTCTCTAGCAAGTTGAAGAGTTGGCAAGAAGAAGACTTCCCTTGAGCCGGCATGTGGCGTATGGCCCTTTCTATTAAATCATGTCTTGTGGCAAAACTTCGAGCGCAGAGTCGATTAGATACCCGGACCTGTAGATCACCCAAATTGCCGACACGAGTACTAGACAAAACGACGGGAAGCTAAAGGTGACTCCTCAGGGATTCCCAGAAAGGTGTCTTCGCATCTCTGCGACCCCAGTCAGGAGCTTCCTGGCGCGCGCTCTTGTTTCAACGATCCAGCGATGCGTGGATGAACTGGCTATAGATTCTATGGCCCAAACCAAACGCCCACCGCCCAACAACAAAAAACCTCTCTTGGGACCCTTTTTGGGGGTTCTGAGAGGGCGTTTCTGGCTGGGCCATATGTTGCTAGTCAATCTCTGAGGCATTCAGAGCTGGATAAGTCGTCTGTTGGGCTTCACCCCCTGGGGGAAACCAAGGTCACTGACCACTTGGCAGCATTCACGTGGCGGAAGGTTCATCGGAGTATCCCCGGCAAGTAGAAGATGATGTCTCAGCTTAAGGCTTGAGGGTCCGTTCGCCAAAAGGGGAACCCCTCTTCAGATGCTTGAGGGCAAAAGGGGAACTCACCTGAGAGGGGACACACAAGGGAAAGGGGAACAACTCACCTGGCGGAACGGGACCAGACCCTACCTGGAGTCTCCGTGACCCTTCAAGAATGGGTCCATGACCCCCTTTATTTGGGGTAGTGACCCCATTTTTGTTGAAGGGTCATGGAGACGCCAGGTCTGGGTCTTCCAGCAGAGAGGTTAGAATAAGGGTACCCTTTTTCTGTAGTCTATTTAGTAGGGAACTCTCCCCCAAAAAAGGGTAAAAGGGCACCTATCTGGGGGACCTAGAGAGGCAGAATCAGTTGAGGGACTTGCGCAAGTTCAGCTGCGCGGCTCGGCGTCCAACACCAAAGCATTCCCCTCGGGAAGCGCTGCTCTCAGCGCGGCGTGCGCGGCCTGCAGAACCTGCGTCTGTTCGGTGTGTGTTGAGGGTACTCTCCTAGGTCCTCCAGTAGAGATTAGAATAAGGGTACCCTTTTCTCTGTAATCTATTTTGGTAGGGGGACCCTCCCCCACAAAAGGGTAAAAGGGCACTATTGGGGACGTAGTCTCTCTAAAAGGTTGCTTTACAGGAAAATCAAAAGGATAACAACCACAATAATTTATGTTGGGGGTGCCCCAACCTTGAGATGTGGTCCTGGGCAAGGAAAGCAATAGGACCAAATAACCAAATACCAAAACTCTGATGGTGTGGTCATCATTTGCAGTAGAGCCCTGACTATTTTGCCATCAAGCGGTTGCGGGGAACTGACCCCTTCGGCTTCCGACGCTGATTCTTTCTCCAAGTCGGCTTCCGACTGGGCCTTGAGGAACTAGTGCTTTCAACGCCAGTAACTTGCCGTGTCTGAGGAATTCACCTTCTTTGAACTAGAAGGAAACTGTAACTGCCAGATGGTTTTCGTAGGAGTCATTCTATCTCAGCATCTACCTTTTGAAAAACAGCTTCTGTCAGAGGTTTCACATACCTCCAAAAGAAGCCCCTCAGCTCCGGGAAGGCCAAACACTTCTCCAAGGCCGGAAACAAACTAAAAGCAAACGAGCTCTAAGGCCGAAAAAGGGACGACCCTGTGAGCAGCTCTAAGGCCGAAAAAGGACGACCCTGTGAGCAGCTCTAGGGCCCGAACAAAAACGACCCTCCCAACCCAAAAAGTTGGTCAAAGGCTAGCTGGGGGACCTAGATCCGTTGGTCATTGTGGGGTAAGCCCCCACGGCCAGGGTCCCGAACACGTTTCTCGTCCCCCAAGCAACAGCTCTGGCCGCAAGCTGATAGGACGGCCCATCCGTTGGTGGGGTAAGGTTCCTCTGGCCAGGCAACCGACAGCTTCCATAGGTGGGCCTTTTGGAAAAATAGATGGGTTTTCCTGGTAAATGGTTCATAAAACCCGCCTAAACCAGTGGGATCCATCGATTTTTCGCCCAACTCGGCAAAAATAAAAATAACTCGGGCCCTGCCGGCCTCCGCCTTGGCGCGGCTGGGTGCCAGGTTGCTGACCACGTCCTGGAAAAACAAATCGACCTGCCAATGTGTCAAAGGATCCATGAAAAAGGACCATGTTTTCTTTTTCCTGGTACCCTGCCAGGGTTTTGAGTGGATTAAACTGGCACCCTGCCTGGGTTTAAAGTGGATTGCCTAGGTAAATCCACAGGATTTGACGTAGCCAAGGCTATTAAGCCAGTCAGAGGTCGCAGCGCTTTGGCGCTTTGTTTCGAAAGTATGCAAGGAATTACACAGGCGGAAGGCCAACGTAGGGAGCACACCAAAAAGCGCTCCTTGCGATTCAAGAAGAACTATTTCCTTGAACTGAAACTAATTACCGACTAGTTGAAGCAATCAGTTGCGTGCTGCTATTGCACACAACACAAGCAAACCGAAAGACCGCAATTCGTGGCTTCCCGGACGATTCTCAGAAAAGCCCAAGGAAGATGAGTACTTGGTCACATCTTGGTGTCAACTGGGCCTAGTATTCCGGTTGCTTCAGCCGCAAAAATCGTCTCCAACCCGCAAATGACGCGCACAACTCACCTGCAACATGTGCAACTCGAAAACAACATCTTGCTTCTGGGTGAGCTGGTTCTACCCGCGTCATGAACTTGGCAGTATGACCGAGATAGCCAGTTTGCGGCCCAAGCAACATCTTTCTGTCAACTCCCCTGCCCTCGAAACCCAGAAAGTGCCGGGCACATTTGGAGCGGGGAACAAGAGAGCCTCCAAACGAACTCAAATAAGCATCTTGGGTGGTAGGCTCGAAACAATAAAACCAAGCCAGTGGTCGTTTTTGGGCCCTTTCTTGTGGTGGCTTTGAGGAAACCATGCAGCTTCGAGGTAAGCTCGAGTCGCACCAATCAGGTCCTTCACTTGGCAGTGGCTCAAAAAGCCGGTACCAAAATGGAGCGCCCTGGTAAGTGGAAAGAAACATGGACCAAAACCCTTTGTTCGCCACTCCGATCGTTTAATTTTGGTTGCCACACCCACCCTTCCGGAAGCCGCCCCGAACTCCGGAGCCCATCGCCCATCCCAAAGCTTCTAGCTGGGGACTTCTTTCTTTACAGCCGAGCTCAACAAGACGGGTCTTTGGGCTCAAAACTGTTTGCTGATTTGTTGAAAAATACCGCTTCTCCCAGCCAGATTCAGGTTCAAGATCCAACCAGAAAGCTTTCAGCCGCTGACCCGCCGAGCAACCAGATCATGTCGCCACACTGCACACGAGGCAATGTCTTCCCCTGTTTGGGTTGCTCAAGGGAAGCCAGACTGAAAACAAGAGAGAGGGGAAAAAGCCCCCCTGTTACCATTTACATTCTCTTCCGAGGAAAACGTAAAACCACACATAGTTCAGGGTGCACAAACGCACACACACACACACACCAACACACCCCAGCCCAATTCCATTTTGAGTGGCTGAGCATAGCCTAAGAGGGAACAAGATAACAGCAGCAAAACACCAAAAACACCAGTGCAGCAGAGACAAAAAACACTTTGAGTCCCCAAAACGCTTTGAGCTAACACAAGAGATGCCAAATTTTCCTACAAATCCTCTCAGTCGCGGTGTGCGTCGGTTTCTGCATGGCTCGCCTTCAAGCACTGCGCCACTTGCAGCACTGCCACTGCGGCGCTGGACTCTGTCCTTAGGTTGCGCCATGGCCAAGACTGCTTGGATCTCTGGGGCTCCCATTTTCCAGGCCCAGTGGACATCCCCTTGCACCACCTCTATCCATCCCCTTGCACCCCGTCATGCGCGAAAACGGACCCCATCCCAGTGGACACCAATGCACCGAACCAAAATCTAGTTTCTTCTAGGTCCTCCACTTGTCGCCTTGCGATCGAACCCCTGAGAAGCCCTCAGCAATACCCGTACTGTTACAGGAAGGGGGAAAAGAACGTGCATCTAGGTCCTCCAGATTTGAGAGGGAAGTTGGTACCCACTTTTTTCAGGACGTCTATTGTAGTAGGGGAACCCTCCCCGCATAAAGACACGGTAAAAAGGCACTACTGGGAGACCTAGTCTTGCCCTCTTGTTGGGCCTGTGCTAAAATGATGCGGGATTCGGATGATTTGGACAAGGAAACCAAAATGACACCAACCAGGTTTGTGGAGTGCGCAGTCTGAAGGCTGAAGCCCTTTCCGCTTCCCCGAGAAAAAAGACCATCTCAAGATAGGGCCCCCAATGGTTGGAAGCACTCACACAGCATCACGAACCCAACGCACGGACCTGTCTTTCACCGGAAGGGATCCAAATGTAGATGGGTTCTGCAAACAAGCAAAGCGCACCTTTTCATTCCGATTCGATCGCGCAACTGGCGCGGAAATCAAATCATGCGCTGCACTGGTGTGTTTCTTCAAAGAAGTTCTCTGAAGCTACCAAAAAACCTCTCCGTTCAGCTCCTCCCACACGATTGCCTTGACTCTTCAAACACAACCGAGACGCAAAGCTGCTCCAGCACCCTTTGCTTGAAAGCCGCAAAAACGATTAACTAGGTCCTCCAGTAGAGAGGATAGAATAAGGGTACCCTTTTTTCTGTAGTCTATTTTAGTAGGCGAACCCTCTCCCAAAAAAGGGGTAGAAAAGGGCACTACTGCGGGACCTAGTTAACCTAGCTTCAACAGCGAACCTTTGAGCTGGGTCGTCAAGTGGAAGGACCACGTCAGCAGGCACGTGTATTCAATCCAATGTGGCGAGGTGTCAGCTGATAGCCGCTAGCACGGCGTTTGGCAGCAGGCTCGACCAGAACGGGTGGCGAGAGTTGGGAATCAGCCCATTGACGCATGTCACGTTGCCCGGTCCGCTTTCTGATCCGCGCCTCTCTGAGCCTCAAGAATTGGAGCCGAGTGGCCCAGAGTCTGCTTACTCCCAAAAGCAACGACTCGCTCCAGCGGTGCCTTTTTTTTCACCACATGTCCACTGGGGATTGTACCTGTTGGTCCGTGACTTGCGCTGACTGTTGGTACTCTTAACATGCAACCAGGCCCCATTGTTCACCATGGTCAAAGTCACCCTTTAAGTGGTGGGGTAAAGGGAAACAACATTTAGTGACGTTGATAACCACAAGAAACACCTGAACATTGCCTTGTAAATGGAGGTGTCCCTGTATTTTGGTGGAAAAAGCCATGTTTCAAATGGTTGCAACATGTATCTTTTAAGGAGCCCTGTAAAATAATGGCCCCAACGCAATGCTCACCGAAACCACCCTCCAACCGAAACCCCCGTCCCATCCAACCCTCTCGGCTTCGGCCAGAGACGCTCCGCTGCCAGCTTCTCAAGCTCCAGGGCCACATGTAACTCCGTCCTGGAACGTCACTGGACCCAACTCAGTCCAACGGACGCCAAAGAGAGAAATGGCTATGGGTCAAAAGCCAGATCGTACCCCCGGTGAGCATCCCAATCCCCACTAAAATGGGTTCCTAAAATGGGTGGTGCATCTACTCCAAAAACCCTTGGTCTTGACCCACGGCCAAATGGAGGCAAAGAGGGAAAGTGTGTGGCGAAGTAACTGGGAAAGTGTGAGTGACATATTGGGTCCACACTGGGAAAGTGAGGGAACTACTATATATATATATATATATGTGTATAGATGCACATGCCAAATTGAAGCGCGTGAGTGGAAACCCCACTAGAATAGGCGTGGTCCAGTAACTCAAGTAACCCATAAATCCAGGGTTTACACCAGAAGTACAAATGAACATGAGTATTCTATGATATTATATTTATGAATGCTATTAAAAACAAAAAATGTATCCTTGGATGGTCTCTCCCTAACCAACTTGGGTGCCCATATGGTGGGAGCATTGCCAGCAGTCCAACCTTTCTGTCGCAAAACCCTCACGGATTGGGGGGATGCGCAAGCCAACAAGCCGAGTCGTCTACCCAAAAAAACTACGACAATAACCAGAGGTCGGCAAATTCCTTTGTGAGGCCGCTGTGAACTTATGACTTGGGTGCTCCAGGTAAGCACTTTGCAAACTGGGCATTTGCCCCAAAGTTTGCTTCTACATTCAGGGGGTATTGGCCCCACCTCCATTCATTTACTTCGGGGTTTACCCTGAATCAAGAGAATCCAAGGATCTGGCGGGGCTCCGAAGCTCTATGGGCGTTCGCTGCAACACCAGCACTCTGCGGCTGCATGCAAGATGGGTTTTTAAACATCCGAAGGTCCCTTGAACTTGGGCTGTGATTCCCTAGAGCTAATCGAAGGTCAGCAAACCTCATATCTTGCAATGTCCCGCGCTCCATTTCAAGCCAGGCTTGGATGCGAACACCTGCTCAAATATGTCTTGACCAACGCTTAGACAGCCTTCTTCTGGCTTCCCTTAAAAGGTCTGATTGTCTAAAAGCACGTTGAGCAGCACCGAAAAGCTAGACATGGTTTCTGTTTGTCTTTCCAGCAGTTGCCTCTTGATATGCTTTTGCCTCGAGCTTGCTGTGTGTGTGTGTGTGGGTACGTGTGTTTGCCTTGCAAACATCCGAAATATTGAGGCCGCATGCGATTTCCACTCAAAAGAGCAGACCCGCCGTCAGAAGCAAAAGCAGGCGTGCTCATAGGGTGAATAATACCAACAATTACTTGGTTGCTTTCTGCTCCCCTGCTGAAAGTTTAAGTTTAGTGGAAAACCCATTAGTTGGCCAAAAGTTAAAGTCCTAACATTCAAGCAACATGCACCAAAGAATACTAAGGTGCATTTCCGGAATCTAATACTAAAGAAGTCTAAACTCCAACGTGGGCCTCCGGTTTGCCCGCACAACAAATCAGATGAGTTCAATTCCGGCCCACTTAAAAAGAAATGTCAAATTTCCGGATGCGTATGCAGAGTGAAACCTACAACTACCTTCTCCCGCAAACCACCTTCTCCTGCGGAACCCGTTGATTCTGAGGATTGACCTTCTAAGGGGGGAAGAAGAGGGAGGAGGGTTTACTAATTCGACGTTAACAGTATAAACAATTGACAGCTCAAGCTTTGAAGATGGACAGGAGTGCCAATTTGGGGAACCTTGTCCGCTTGCGAAGCTGTTCAAAACCAACACAACGACTAGTTCAGCCCCGATCGGTTGGTGAAGTTTGAAGCAAGCGACAATCCGCCGCCCAAGAAGACGAAGCCACACTGCACCGTCGTCCAAAGGCAGTGTATGGCCTCCGTCCCGGTTACCACTTAGGAACCCGTGGTCAAGATACCCAGGAAGAATAGCAAATTGATTCCTGTGGTTAACCCGTGGTTCCCCTGTTTGCGGGTGGCCCATTGGATGTTCCCTGACGTTGAAAGTGAGAGGGTTTGACTGCAACTCAATTTGGGTAGTCCAAAAAAGAGGAAATTGACACATGCCGGGACTGCCCTGTCTCAACTGGCACTGGCGTAGGTTCCCTTGCTGTGTGCCTAGGGCGCAAGATGATATATTCATGCTGCTCAAGTGCCAAAAACAAAAAGAAGTAGTATATCTATTCCAAAATGGTCTGGGCAACTTTCAGTGACGTCACTGGGGGTATTGCCACGTCAGCATGATGAAGGTACTTTCTGTCTGCGAATCGCTATGCTTCCCAGAATGGCGAAACACCAGTCCTGTAGCGTGTCTGGCGCTTTGTTCATGTGTTGGGGGTGGAATAATTGTTCGCAATGTTCAAGCGATTTGGCTCCGACTCAGAATCGACTCTGGACAACTCCAGTGACCATGGAAAGGGCCCTCCAAAACAAGGAGTACCCTGAATCAAAAAACACAGGCACCAAACAAGATTACGTATGGAACTGCTCCATCATGCTTTGAGCGGGTCTCGTTCAACCTTCATTTCAGCAAAATAACAGCCATTGTTTTCGTCTCATTTATGCAACTCTTTCAAGAGACTAAGAGAAAAGCTTCAACAACATAAGAGCAACAGTTAAAGAACTAAGAGTGAAATCCAAAAACACAAGAGTAGCGATGCGAGAAACTAAGATATCAAACAAATAGATATGCAAACAACAACACGTGGTGATTTCACGCACCCGGGTGATTTCCCGGCCCCAATCCATCTTGCACAGGCCTGCGGCAAGCACTGCCTGGTGGGATCGCAAGCAGTTGGCTTTCCTTCTCGAGGTTGCGAAATCTCTGCTAAAAGTTTCTTTAACTTTTAGTGGTTGAATTCGGAAAACCCATTAGTTGGCAAAAAGTTGAAGTCCTAACATCCAAGCAAATGCACCAAAGTCTAGTCTCCCTTTAAAACCACTACAAATGGAAAGACAGACCCATATTGCAGACCAACCAGGGGAATTGACAGGGGTTCCTAGGGGGGCAAAGGCTCCCCTCCCACATCGTTCACTGGGTAACACATAGCCCATCTCATTGCGGCTTTGCGCATCAATGACACTGATTGGATATATGATATGAACAACCTAGTCTTACAAATTTAAATGAAGCAACAGTCGGAACCCGTAAACTGATGTAGTTGGTAAGGGAACCCCACTTTATCACAGTGAGAGGGACGGATATGGTCTGCCAAGGGATCTGCCACATTGCTGCGTGGGCTATGAGATTCAAATAGTGAGGTCATACCCTCCGGTTACAACAGGCCCATCTTGACCCCCATCCTCCTGTGAGGGTCCTTTTTGGGACACGGGCATGCGCGGACGTGTTCAAGGGTCTTTTGGATTGTTTGAGGCAAACCAAGATGCCACTCAGGGAAAGGGGGTCAAACCCATTTTGAGACACCATGCTGTTGCAAATGGGATGCTGCGCGCGCAAACATAGTTAGCCTGCCGAACAACCAACCACGTACACAGTGCTTCCGGTGTCTACCGTCGCACCACTTCATGGCTGTGGGCAGACCGCTGTTTTCGTCAGAGAACGCTATACTTTTGCCGCGGTTGATATTGCTCTTCAACTGACCTTTGGTTTGCCAGAACTGTTTCAACTTTCATTTGACACAAGTACCCCATCACCAGAGTTGTGGAAAGACTTGGGGCAAACATGAGACCCATGCAGCATTCATGGTTTCAATTTGCGGTGAAGTTGCCCCTTCTACACCCTAAGTGGCGGAGGTTGGCTGCTTCTTGCACAATGCGGCAGATGGTGCTCTCTTGTTCTCAAGACCCAGCATGAATGGCAACCCGAAGGTTGTACGTGGGTAAAATATGTTCCCAGTTCCTTTGCGGGCTCAGAGAAAGGGACCGTGCTGGTTGCGGCTTACAACCAGGAGCCCAGCCAAATTTACCGGGATGACAATCCGCAGAAGAAGTTGATGAGAGAGTGTTCTGCGAGGAGGTTGATGCCAAAAAGATGCAAACCAAAACCCGTAGGACTTCCATAACCAGAACGAGAAAAAGGGCTTCCGCCCTGCTTTGCTCAATGGAAAGTCCCAATGAAGCGGTCAGACCGTGAGACCGGAGCCACGCTGCTTGAGCTCCTGCAGCGCAGGTTCATCTGGAGCTGCCACCAGCATGCTGGCCATGCCAGGGCATGGATGGCTGGCCTCACTGCATCGCCCGGAAGGCCGAGACCCGGGCACCAGCTTCGCTCTCAGGCCATTCCGTCTAAAGGGAGCCCCCGATATTAGCCCTGTTATACGTATGACTACATGTAAAAAAAACAAAATACAGGCATATTGCCATGAACAAGGGTTACTCAAAGCATGTCACCCTGATAGCAGGATGCAGGTAGTGGAATCTGGACCCGAAAAAGGAACCACCGAGGGGTATTGAACGGACTTGGGAAGCCAACCACCTTGGATGACAAATACAATACAAGGGTAGTTGTCAAAAAAAACGGATTGGAACCACCTTGGATGACAAATACGAGGGTAATTGGAGAAACAAAACAGATTGGAACCACCTTGGATGGCTAATACGAGGGTAATTGGAAAACATACGGCTTGCAACCACCTTAGATGATACGAGGGTAACTGGCAAACAAGAACGGATTAGAGTGGAACCTGGGTCCCAATCCACATTTGCAAATCTTCAATCGGTGCTTTTAATGGTGTAATCATAGGAGAAGCACACAAACAACTTGCAAAGCATGTAAAAAAAAAAAAAAAAAAAAAAAAACATGGACGACTTCCGGCGCTTGCCTCGCATGTCTCGCGCGGCAAGTCTCGCCGAGGAGCCGGGGGCGCCATGGCCACGTAGTCTCTGCCGACTAGGCGCAGCATCTCCACGGAGCCCACCTGAGGTTGCGGATGGCTTCTGACTCGATCCTCAAACAAACAAACAATGGTTTCAACCAACAAACAATGATCCCCAAACAAACAAACAAACAAACCAACCAACCAACAAACAAACAAACAGACAAAAGGAGCGAAAGGGAGCGAAAGGGAGCGAAACTGGTTTGGACAAAGTTTCAACCAAAAAACAGACAACTCAGGCACTCTTCTTCATACTGTGGCAATACTAAATCCCAATCCAACCACTAAAATAGGAAGCCTGAAATGGGTGGCAAATTCACCTACCAACCAAAATGGGATCCCAAAACGGTGTTGACCCACATATCTATGGGGATAAAAACTAGGTCCTCCAGATTTGAGAGGTTAGAAGAAGTTGGTACCGTTTCTTTTTTCGGTTTCGTCGATTTTAGTAGGGGAGCCATCCCCCCAAAAAAAGGGGTAGAAAAGGGCACTACTGGGGGCCTCGTCGTACCGCACCGCCGTTCAGAACCCCCTGGCTTTTGATGATCCCTGTAAATACCAACCAACAATGGTTTCAACCATGGTTTCAAAGTGGGGCGAAGTGGATTTCGTCCATCCACAGTAAGATCAGTCTTCGACATGGTCTTGGGCAACTCATTCACAAAATGATCTTAGTACATATAAGTTGCAAACATGATCTGCATACATACAAGTAATATATATATTGTTGCAATGTGTTAGCTCTGTTCAAATAATTGTGAGAATCATAATACCTGGTATTCCAAAAAAGTTGCCGAACTGCAAACTTAGGGATCCAGACCCCAACGGACACCCCTTTTCTTTGCCCGGCAGAACAAAGCATCCACCCAAACCTGATAGAAGCCACGAACGCAAAGGCAGGTTTAATTGCCAACAAGCCGCAACTTCTTTCACATCTCTTGGGGTATCACGTCTGGGCAGCACGCGTGAGACACATCCTATCTACATATTCGTTCATCCAATTGTTCATCAATTGGTTTATCTACCTGCTCTTTCGGATAAATCTATTTTGCCAGCCAACTAAAGCCTGTCTATCGGTTTATCTATCTGTCGCGTTGCTCTACTTATCTACCGGTATACCTGTCTAGTTATCTACCTGGCTACTTCCCATCTGCTCTCGATGTGTCCGTCTCTTGCCTCTGTCTACCTATCTGTTCATCAATTTGTCCATCGTCTATCTACCCTTCTGCCTATCCATCAGCTCCAGCTCAAAAAGCACAACTTGTGACGAGCGCAGAACATCAAGTGCGCTCAAAGGAAATCGCAACCTACAGCCTCGTTTTGGACGTTCTGAACTCGCTGTGGCTTGTTGCTTTTCCAGTGCCCCATTCGAAGGCGGCTGCACGTACAACAAGCCTCTAGATCATCACTGTAACCTCACTTCATCTTGTTTTGCATTCTTTCCTACAGCACGAGTTTGTTCCGATCTCAGTGAATTTTGGGCTGCTCATATAGCTTGAGCATTGCATTCAAACCACCCAATATCGACGAGTGACCCCGTGAACATTTGCATACTGGAACTCCAAGAATCATTTTCATTCGCAGGGAAGAAAGCCCGAGGTTTTTCGTGGCAATTTCCGTGTCGTCTCAACATCAAGCCCAGCGCCGTTCTTGGTACATGTTGGAAACTCTGAGGACCTGAGATCATACACCCCTTCTGCAAACCCTTCTAAGAGGACCACTTTCCTTTTCGAAAGGGTTCAGGTGCACCAAACCATGTTTGTTGGTGGGAGGGTTGGGCTCACAAGATTTCCCAACCACAACTCCCCAGCACTTTCCGGCTCCAAACCAAACAGCATATGACGCATTCCTCATGTAGGGCTCATGCGCTCTCATTGACCCCTTTAAGGTTTCTGTCCGGCACCCCTCAAGTGAAATCACACACATATGATTTGCAGTGATTCTCAAAAGATTTCAGATACTTGCATTGGTGCTTGTTCCTGAGAGACAGTACACAAACAAACAAATGTGAACATTTGCAGTTGACAGGCGCAACAGCCAGCACATGTGCCAGGGTCAAAGGGCATGGGTCTCAAAAAGGCTTGCAAAGATTTAGATAGACTTTCATAGACTTGAATCCACTTAAATACACTTCAATAACCCGAGATACGGTAAAAGCACGTCCTGCATATTCACCGTTGAGAGGCGCATTAGCGAACCAGCGCAATTGCATCAGCGTTATTCGGCCACAACAGCTTCGAACAGGCATAACAAGTTTCAGAAGCAGTAAGGCAGCATGAGAGCATCTAAAAGCTTTTATATCCCAAAATGCCCGCACATGTAGCACATGAGGCAAAACAAGAGTGTCAGAAAGACTTAAACAACAAAAAAACATCCCAAACAACAAATATAACTAGTAAGTCAAATTGAAGATTAAGACGCGTATTTGCGAAAGCCTTATTTTGAAGATTGGCATTTGAGGTGGCTTCACCTCAGGGATGCCGAAGAGTATCCTGCAAATGGTGGGTCTTGTGGAACCTAAGAGCTTCAACAGGCCAATTCTGTGGGTCCCATGGGGGGACGGGTTCAAAGTGATTTCGACAAATTGGTTCAAACGCGCGGTCGGAACTCCTTTGGATCATGGCCAGTTCAAGCTGTTTCCTTGAAAAGAGAACCCATCCACAGCATCATCCAACCTTCCTTTTCATGGGTGAAGGCACACCGTATGCCCTGAACTGGGTCGTAAACCAGGAACACGCGACTCGGAACTGACCCGACCCTTTTTGGGGTCCTGCCCTGTCCAAGTGGCCCAGCCCAGGACCTCCTGCCACTTCGCCAGCGACAGGGAGGTGACGGGCGTTGCTCCACTCAGGCGCCTCCAAAGGTCCGTCAGCCCGTTTCCCTCGAGTGCGGTGCCCAGCCAGAACTTTCAACAGCTCCACTTTCTCCGGGTATGGCCACCAAACGGTGAGGTTGAGCATGGCAGAAACCCGTCGCTGACATTCATTTTGGCCGGTGCCACGTACAAAAACACACAACTAGATTCACCAGTCCTGGGCCGTGTTTATTCTAATTGAAGCCTAGGACATCTGCCCTGAGCGAGCGGGCCTCACAAACTCGATGTGCCGGATGGACAAGCGCCACAGGACGCTCACTCCTGCGCCAACATTGTGTGTGTGTGTGTTGTTTGGTACCCTTTTACGCTTGTTTACAGGAAAATCCAAGGAAAGCCACTTTGTTGGGCCCCCTTATGTTGACACAGATCTAAAGGTTCAAGCCTCCTGCGGCTCAAGCAAAGACGACCACTCGTAAACTCTCTGTGCAACACATATCGTGATGATTATTGCATGCTTACAGCTGAAACTCCAAAGGTCAAACGAGTCAGTCGATCATTGTGATTTGGGGCAACGTCTTGCGCACCAACGCAGACTCCGAGCAATGGTCTCGAAGACCAAACAAGCGACTTCAACCAATCAGTATTGTGGTGAGAGTAATTGCACTTGATGTGTTTATGTGATCAGTTGCACTGAAAGTTGTGGAACCGTGGAGCTCGTGAAATTGTTTGGGCCCTGCAGACTTTTGTGAGTGCGCTTGGCAAACAAACACATCCTTCTGATTGAAATGGTCAAGCTGCCAAGGGCCAATTTGGCCATTCAGTGGTGTCGCATGTTAAGGCATCTTGCGCATTGCCAGACTTGTCTAAAGTACTCAAAAAATGTGTTTTATAATACTGGAGATTCCCTTGTTCTATTGCTTTCAAACAACCTCACAGACGCCAAGCCCATACGCTCAGCCCAACTGGCCACCGCCTTCGATCAAAGTCGAGCTGCAAATCGGATCCCTCCAAATGGTTTCATGGAGCTCTCATGGCGCAGCGAGGCATCTCCACTTTGCAACACCCACGATGTAACCTCCGAACATCCGAAAGGTTCCCTCCTAAAGCTATGCAGGGTTATCTCGGAACGGGGTTTAAACAAAATTTAAATGAAAAGAAGACAACGGGAACAAAGGTTTCCCTTGAAGTCTGAAAAGTTGAAGAATGTTTGTCTCCCTGTTAGTTTTTGGGGGGAATCAGATCCTTGCTTTTTTTTTCTCAATAAACGAAAAGTCAAATACAGATAATCAAATCCTTGCTTTTTAGATTAAAACAAAAATCAACATGGAGAATCAGATCCTTGCTTGTTGAACAAAACCAAAGACAAATATGGAGAATCAGAACCTTGCTTTTTAAAGAAAACAAAAATCAACTATGGGTGCGGCTCAAAATTCAAGAGCTCGGGTTGCGCAGGTTGTAGTCGTTGGTTCCATCTACCAAGATGTCATTTTTGTACATTTAATTTGAGCCACAGCCATATGGAGAAAAGTATCTCTGCAACAAATAAAAAATTGTGTCTTCCCATTGGAGTCGCTTGCCCGCGTCTCACTCCTTTGGAGCGCAGAAGGTCCCGCAGGAAGGGGTCCACCAGCTTCTGGCAGGCCAGCACCTGCACCTTGGCCTCCACCAGGCCTCGGGCTGGGGCCTCGTTGTCCCTTTTTTTCTGGGGATAGGGAGTCCCAGGAAACCAAACGGGGAAAACGTTTAAAACGGGGGGGGGGATGGGGGGTGTCCAGGTGGACTGCCGAACTTGATGTTGTACTCACAAAAACTGGAACGTGTTCGCTTCCGGGCCTTTGAGGGAAAACCATCTGGATTCGCAGAACAAAAGCATCCTGTTGAACATATGAGTCGGTCTTTTTGCAGTGGACCCTCCAAAATGGTGGGTGTTCCTTTTGTTTTCCTCTTAAAACCCCCCAAAAGGATACCCTCAAAAAAAGAATCCCCCAAAATCATTTCGCACCACTTGGAAAGCATGGATAGAACCATAACGTTGGTTGGTACTTCGGTAACTACAGGGGAATCATCAGAAACCAGGGTGTCTTGGGTGGTGCGAAATGGATTTTCATCCACAGAATTTACAGGGGAATCGAATCATTCCAGGGTGTCTTAGGTGGTGCGAAATGGAGTTCGTACACAGCAAGAGGCCCAGCCCCGTCCACTACATCCAAGAAACACACACACACACACATATGAAAATGCGTGTGTATTGATGGGGAAATTTCCCCGGTTTCGGGTGGGCTTAAAGGGAAACCAAAAGGAGAACACCTCTTACTTTGTGTTGTTTCCTTTTGGGGAGGCCCTGTTTCAGACGCACAAAAGGAAACAAGGACAATCAAGGTGATAAACAACGGAAAACAGAGCGAAACACGGCCACACACACAATGAAGCAAAGAAAGCAGGCAAGGCAAACTGGCGAGGCAACCGCGCAACCCAACAAATAGGTCAGACACGGAAAGCTGACTTAAATAGGGCAGTGCCCTTTCTAAACTCCTCAGATCGATCAAACCAAAGAGCTATCCGCTTGTTACACCCAAATGGGACCAAGCCCAGAGAGCGAGGTCTTGCAAGCTGCCACTTCCCTTTTACAAGCCAGCAAGAGCGGCAGCTCAAACAAGAACAGGCGAACCAACCTGGCTGAGAATCTTGGCTGGACACACCCTCCAAAAATGCTTGACATACCCGTCCCCATGTTTCCCATGTTTCCCAAACACTGGCATAGCGTCCCATTGCGAAACAAGGGCCATAATCCCAGCCAGGGAGCTGTCTGCCAGCTTTCTAAACTGCGCCATCTCCCAGCTGCGCAAAGAACCCAGGTCCTGGCAAATCGGGTCTCACCAAATGGACCCCCCTTTTGGTCTGGTAGAGGAAACCCAAAAGGAACCAACCAATTTCAGGGGCCGATTTTCCAGAACCCCCATCTTTAGGTAACCCACACAGGTGTCTTTGAAGTGGCCGGAGCCGGCTGCGGCGCACTTGGCCAGTTAGTGTTTCAAAACATTGGCCAAACTGGGTGCCCCCAAAACGGCGAACTGGGTTGCTGTTGTTGTTCTTTGAATACCATCAATCCAACCAAAGGCGGCCCTGCGATAGAATCATACACCTCCCCCCTAAAATGCATCTTCGAGTTCCCTGAGTTGACTCTTAGTCAAGGGGTCTGTTTAGAATGGGTGTATCTCAGGGGCAACCCCCTTATGTGTCATAAAGAATTGCACATGCTGTTCAGCCGGGCAGCTTTCGATGTTGTCAGCGACGTCTCCACCTGCAACAAGAACTTTGGCCGGGCACCGGGCACATGGCTGCTCCCCCGACCCGCCGTAGCCTTTGAGGAAACTATGCGTGGCAGCCAGTCGCTTCATTTGGGGGTGAGGGCGCAAGCTTTTTCGTGAGCATGCTCCAGTTCCTCCAAACAGCGCACACATATGGGACCGACGATGGGACTACCATGAGACCATTGTCAAATTGCATGACTAAGGCCCACTCTCAGCAGAGAAACCAGGGACTTGTTTGTCATCATGAAAGAACAACTCTAACCGGTGCATTGCTCCTGCGTCATGAAGTGGCCTTGAACACAAGATTGTCCGTTGACAGAACTGAATCTGGTCGCTACTTGGTGGGTGGGAAAAACAATACTGTTTCAGAAAGGTGAAGGTTACCTCTGCCTCCCGTCAACAAGCTTGAAAGCTGACAAACAGGTTTTGAAGATCGCACAATGCCAATTGTTGGAGCAAGCAGCAAATCAGGGTGCCTTGTGTTGCATGTAAAAGGCCGCCAACAACTGTTAGGCACACACACACACACTGCAAATGGAATTGCCTGGACATTGAACCGACCCTTTCCTCTGCCTTGGACCCACGAAAAGAAAAGCATACAGGAAGAAAAGAGGTTCTGCAACAACTGGCACTTGTGTTGGCGTATGCAATGCATCATTTTGTCAGGAAACTACACCACTGAATGGAACTCAGGTTCAACTAGAATTTAAGTTGGCGCTTTCAGAAGAGAAACGTTTTGCCTGTGAACCTCACCGCAAAACACCAAACAGCTGTAACCATGGAACTCTAAGGGTCATCCCACTCCATGTCCAACTCAAGGTCTGGATCCCCATAAAGAAAACAGAGCTAGAACGCCTTTTTGGTGCCACGGTGGCTGGATCCGGCACGTGGCATGGAAACCTGTGAATAGTGGGATTCACCACGAATCAATTCCAGGATACTGTCCATCCACAGCATTCAACATGGTTTCGGCGTGTTTCGAAATGGGGGAACCCCAAGAATGGTCATCCTGCTGTCCCAAATTACCCAACCAGCGGAACGGGGAGCCTCAACAAACACACCGAGACACTTTTGGCCATGGGTCAAACTCCGTACCCCCCAGTGAACACGGAAATCCCCATTGAAATAGACTAAAATGGGTGGTGCACCTACCCGAAAATTGGATCCCATTGGTTTTGACCCACGGCCACTTCAACCGCTCCATCCGCCTGCCTCGAAGCGTGCGCCCGCCATCTCCGTGGGAAGCCACTGCTCCAAGGAGGCCTCGAAGAGCACAAGGCGTAGGTCTCCGGCCTACCCGACGGGTTGTGTGTGCTGATTTGTTTTTAATGTTTGGTGTGGGTGTTGCTGTTGTTTGGTTTGTTTGTGTGTTTGTTGCTTTAATGTTGGTTGGCGTTATTCGGTTGGTGTGTTTGCGCGTTCGTTTATTGACTGTTTATTCCCTTCTGTCTTTTTATTTTTGTCGAATCGCCTTCCTTCCTTTTCGTTTGTTTATCAATCTATTTGTGTGTTTCAAACATGTTATTTGCTTCCTTATTCATTGAGTTGTGTCTTTCTCTGTCTGTCCCTCTGTTCGTCTGTCTGTCTGTCTGTCTGTCTGTCTGCCCGTCTGTCTGTCTGTTTGTCTGTTTGTCTGTGTGCTTGTTTGTGTTTGTGTTTCTGTGTGTTTGCCGGTGCTTTTTTTTTGTGTGTGTGTGTGTTTGCTAGTATGTTGTTCGTTGGTTATTTGTGGTTGGTTGTTTCATTGTTTGGTTGCTTGCTTAATTGTTTGTTTGCTTGATTGTTTGCTTGTTTGTTTGTGTATTTGTTTGGTTGGTTGTGTGTTTGGTGGTTTGTGTTGATTGGTTTGTTTGGTTGCTTGTTTGGTTGGCTGATTGATTGATGGATTAATTGATTGATTGATTGATTGATTGATTGATTGATTAATTGATTGATTGATTGATTGATTCATTGGTTGGTTGATTGATTCATTGGTTGGTTGATTAGTTTATTGATGCTTTGCTTGACTCATTGATTGATTGATTGATTGATTGATTGATTGATTGATTGATTGATTGATTGATTGATTGATTGATTGATTGATTGATTGATTGATTGATTGATGTCTGTGTGTCTGATTTGTTTTGGTGTGTGTGTGTGTGTGTTTGTTTGTTTGATTGATTGCTTGTTTCCTTAATGGCTTTGCTGCTTGGTTGTCTGTGTACGCGGTCGTGTGTATTTTTGCTTTTTGTTTGTTTGTGCGTTCGTTCGTGTGCTTGTACGGACACGCATCTTGAAAGTTAAAACACTATGCACACCTGATGCATTTGTTTATGTTTTTTGCAAGAACTTGGCCAGCAACGCATAAAATCTTCACCGACAGCACCAACGCCTCCCACCTCAAACTTCTAAGTCTATCACGACTTATGTGTTGATACATGCTGTTGAGGAGCAACTCGACAAAACATGCCGTCCGAGTCCAGTCATGACAAAGTGCATCTTGCTCCGAATTGAGAGACTCGAAGGCGGACCGATCGCAGTTGTCAGCCTAAAGAATTGCAAGAAGGATCTTGCCAGAGCCCCTCCTAACTGGTCTTGCCTTAAGCGGTATTTCTTGCCTTCTGATTACACCCGCATATGTGTTTGTAAAGCTGTTTCAGGGTGACTGCCAAAACAATAGACTAGGTCCTCCAGTAGAGAGGTTAGAATAAGGGTACCAACTTTTTCTGTAGTCTGTTTTAGTAGGGGAACCCTCCCAACCAAAAAAAAAAACGGTCAAAGGGAAAACTTTGGGGGGACCTAGTGGCAAATCAAGGGGCCGCTTGCAGTGGTGTGACCTTCTGCCTTTCAAGTCTTGAGATCGCCCGACAAAACATGTACCAAAATGGCACGTTGGCAAACGGAACCAAAGATCAAACCTGCACACTACCTGTTTAATTTTGAGCAACTCCCACTTGTTTACATTTTCGGAGAATCCCCTTTCTGTGGAGATACTGACCCATTGTTGTTTCCGATTTTGTGTACCCCGTCCGGAAACTGCTAGCCCATCAACTGTCATGGCCAACGTATCATAACCCTCCCAGCAACTGGGAGCCGGAACCTGACGTTCGGGGGTCCCTTTAAAAGGCAAACTGTCTTCCAGGACCCCCCTGTCAGGTTCCATGTCAATTGGTGGGAGGGTAACCACCACGAGCAAAGGTGACATGCAGTGCGCCACATATACAATTTCACAGGCAACTACAAATGACAGGCGCAGAATCAGACACCCGGCCAAAATGTGTCGCCCCCCTTCAAACATCGACCGCCCCAAGGAAGCACACAAATCAAGCCGAAAGAGCCTTCTTGAAACTAGCGGCTGTCTTTGTGCGACCGCTTTTGGTGGTGCCTTGTTCTTTGTCCGACACGGTGGTCGCAAGTTTGCTGTGACAAAGCGCTTGTGCTAGATGGGTTCCAGTGGGCCGGACCAGCGGATCTCCACAGGCAAGAATAGCCCCTTTTTCTTGCTGGTGCTCAGAGGGATTGAAGGAACATGGGGATTCCCTTAAAGGAAACCACCAGTTGGATGGTTTTTCTTGCAGTCACTCCATTTCTCATTCCCTGCATCTCTCGACCGATCATTAAGTACTACAGACTAAGGCGAGCTTTCGGGATCTGCGAATGCTGAAATCCGATGCGGGCTTAAGGGACTCCCTCGACTTGCTACGGCGCTGTTGGCAGATCCATTTCTCCGCACACATATCCTGATGTAATCTCCAGCCCAACACATCTAATTCTCGACTGCATCCTCCATCCACAGGAGCGTCCCCTTACTACCTTCTCTCCAAAATTCTTTTTTTTTCCCAAAGGGAACCTGCTTAAGAGGTTTGACCTTCTGCGGGGGAGGGTTCATTCATCTGATGTTAACGTTTGATTGGATTCAGGGAAAGCCTACAGACTTCCATTTGGTTAAGACCCCGGGGAAAAATGCAACTATTTCCAGTAGTGATAAGTTCCTTTTGAAGCCAACCAGGGAAGATCACAACTTTTTCCCAGTAGTGATAAGTTCCTTTTGAAGTCAACCAGGGAAGATCACAACTTGTTTTTTCAGTAGTGATAATTCCTTTTAAAGCCAACAAGGGAAAATCACAAGTTGTTTCCAAGTAGTGATAAGTTCCTTTTAACACCAACCAGGGAAGATCACAACTTTTTCCCAGTAGTGATAAGTCCCTTTTGAAGTCAACCAGGGAAAATCAAAACTTTTTTTTTCCAGTAGTGATCAATTCCTTTTAAAGCCAACAAGGGAAAATCACAAATATGTTTCAGCAAATGGAAGCAGACAAGGCTGAAAAAGGCGGCATCCCGGCCTGGGCGGGCACAAGGGAGGCCGGGGTGTCCAGCAGAAGCCCAGGTCGCATGGAGCTCCAGACCTGCGATTCGTCCCGAGTTGGGCGCCCAAAAAGACGGACACCTCCCCCCAAAAAGACTTTAGACGCGGCAAACTCCCAAAAAAACCATCCCCAAATCGGTCAACGGAAAAAACCAACCGTTGAGGGCTGAATATGTTCTTTTTTTTTTTTTTCGCTCCAAACAGGATGCCGGAGAAATTGTTGACATGGGTGCCTGCTTTGTCTTGAAGGGTACACGTTCTGGGGATGAGGGAAAGGACAGTCAAACCATTATATTGGTCCAGTAGAGAGGTTAGAATCAGGGTACCCTTTTTTCCGCAGTCTATGTTGGTGGGGGAACCCTCCCCCAAAAAAGGGGAAAGAAGGGCACTACTGGGACCTCGTATCTCCAAATGCCTCGATTACAAGATGATTTCGGGCCATCCCTTTGGCCGTGGGGCAACTTCCTCGCCGCAGAACCAGTGTAGACGCAGGACTTCACTCCAGGTCCTTCCCTCATCCATGCCGGGCCTCAGCTGAGCCAAGGAAACGACAACGAACAACTGTTGCCGGCCGGGTTTCTTGGCATCCAAGGAGCATGTGTGAAGGGAGGACCTGATGTGCTGGGTCGTTCATGATTTCATGGTGTTGCCCATAATCCTCGGTTGCTTTCTGCTCCCCTGCTAACAGTTAAACTTTTAGTGGTTTAATGGAAAGCCCACTAGTTGGCAAAAGGTTAAAGTCCTAACATCCAAGCAACATGCACCAAAGGTTGCGCGCCGTGCCCGGTCAAACAACCAAAAGCTCGTAGGATTCTTGTCGACATTGATGTTCGCCAATAGCAACACCATCCCTCCACCTAAAATTAGAAAAAATAGAGAACATCTATACCCCGACCTGTGGACACTGAAAGATGGTGAGTACTGATCGAGCCACGGGAAGTTCAATCAAACATCTGGCGTGAACGTATGATGTTCAACCCAAATAGGCTCAACACCCTTTCTGTCCTGTCCCCCCCCCAAAACAAACCTAAAAAAGCAAACATTACAACTTCAACAGAGCCTCCAAAACAAGCTCTGACATGCGTCAGGTTTCCAGAGACCCCTGGGTCGCTTTGAAGAAAGCCAAGAGAAACAAACCACTTCGGGGGTCCCCTGTTTGGGCCCAACCCATTCCTGCTCCATTTGCAAGCTTTCAACAAGTACAGGGACCCTCAAAGAGCGTGCCCTCGTTTGTGTAGGGCGTTCCTTGCTTCTTTCTGAGTTGGCTGTGCTTAGCTTGCGTCCTCGGAAAAGCATTCCCAAAACAGAAGCTTCATCATGGTGAGCTTGTTCGGTGAGCTCGCCATGAGATTAGGCAGATTCAGGTGGTTGCCAGAAATCGTAGTTTCTGTGCTACCAAAGTGGGCCATGCCCGTGACCACCTTGTCATTTCAAAGGGAATTCCTTTGGTATCATAGAAAAAACATGGATTCATTCCCCTCCGCCGTCCATCCGCCCATCTGCTGCCGGCAGGGCGCGCAGTGCTGAGGAATGCTTCCAGCAAGACCGCCGAGAGATGGCGAACATCCTGGGGGTCGGACAAGGCCACGGGCTTGCACAAAGCCTGGGATGAGTCAGCAGATGGCTGTGGGTCAAAATTAGGGGGACATGGACCAAACAACCTGCGGTCCCCTTGTAGTTTAATTTTGACCCATGCCCATGTCAGAGAAATGAACAACAGCACCCACTAAAAGCCATCATGAAACAACTGGGGATTGGACAACCAGGGGCCAACCTTCTTGGAATCCTCACAGCCCTCGCTGGGGAACGTGGCGAACGTGGCGAGACACGGATCGCAGCAGCGCCAGCACAGGCTGCAGCTGCAGCTCAAAAGGGAGCCCTGCAACCGAAACGGCAGGCCAGGGGTACCCGGAGACACCTAGGGTTTTGATTGGGAGAACAAGGAAACCCATGTTCAGGGTACTAGAACTTGTTGTTTCAAAAGGCTCCTAGAGGCACTTTCGGGGATTGCATGAGATTCGGTGTTGTGGTATTCCCACAGGCTTGTCTTAGTCTTGCTCATTGTTGGGGCAGTGTCGGCTTCACACTCCTTCCACTTGGTCGCCAAGCATCTGTTTGCTCCGTTCAATCAACTCCTCGGAAAAATCACACAAGCAGAAACTGCAGCTGGGCGGTTCATAAATGGCCTCCTTGGGCCCTGATTCATGACAGCTACATCTTGGCAACAACGCAACATGTAGAGCGCCTGCCACATGTTGGCCCTTTGTTCTAAGCACCGATGAGCCATAGCTTTTGCAGATTCTTTTGCCGCCAGTTGGCGAATTGGTCCATGAACACCAGGAATTTCACACTCATCTCGGGAGCTGCGAGTTGGATCTGAGTTTCTTTGCCATCAAGTCCAACCGATGTGGGCCTGGAGAGGTAAGCGGTATTCAACATCCACGCATGGCCGAAGTTCAACGGCTTGAGGTGTCCTTTGCAACCTGCCCAGGACTTCGAGAACTCAACACAACACAAACAAGCGAGTTAAGCAACACACATCGCAATTCAAGCTGCTCAAAATCAAACCGCGGCTAACGACAGCTCCAAACCAAGCAATAAAACAGCCAGCAACAGCCAAATAACACTCTGAGCGAACAAACATTTTTATTTGTTTTAAAGAACCATGCAAAACACAAAACACAACAAAACAAAACAAAACAAAACAAAACAACAATCGAAACAAGACCACAATCGAAACAAAACACGCACAGACACACACCGCCCAGCCCGTCTGCGGCAAGGCGCGGCACTCTGATAGCGCTGCGTCCACTCGCTGGGCGCTCAGGGCGAGGCCATGCAGCGCGGAGGGGCTCGCGCGGTCTGCGCCGTCGGCTCCGTGGCGAGTGTCGAGTGTCGCGCCACGCGTATGTGCCTAGGTCCTCCAGATTTGAGAGGTTAGAATAAGTTGGTACCAACCTTTTTCTGTAGTCTATTTTAGTAGGGGAACCCTCCCCCCAAAAAGGGTGAAGGGGCACTACTGGGGGACCTAGGTGCGGACCCGCCCAAGGCACGCCACCGAAACACAAGCCTGATTGTGGGAACCTTCAACATAATGAATGCGGGTCAAAACATTCGGTCAAACGTGAAACAGGCTAGCCCTCGTTGCTGCTGGTGGTGGGGAACATAAAGAACCCAACTTAAACATGCAAAACAAAAAAAACGATTCAACCAACAAAGCCTGACAAAAATAACAACCCGACAAATAAAGGACGGGTAGAAGCAAAACATGGGCAGACTAGAAACCCAAAACAAAAATCCTAATAGCGAAAGGTAGCGCGACAACAAACAACCCTTTAAAATGGGAAGGGTAAGCAAGCAGGCACGAACGCAACCCAAACACGCAAATCTAAAAACTAACAGGCAGCCAACAAGGATACAACACAGCAGTCACAACAAGGACAGGTCACACAACCGCAAACGAAAACTGCAAAGTCAACCAACAATACGTAAAACCTGATGATGAACTTGTAGCGGCGGTGCCCAGTCATGACACATGGCACATTGCGCGGCGAGGTGCTCGCATGCACCTGCGCGAGTCACAAAGCGTGACTACAAGTGCCAAGAATCCGCCAGCTCCTTGTATGCAAACTTTTAGCATGGACAGTTCAGCTTGCGATGGTCAAATGTATCCAACAGAAAGCGCTGGCTCAACCGCACACGCTGCGCTGTCTCAAAACAGCGCCTGTTGTGGTATATGATCGTTCGGATCATCTTTGCGTCCTTGAGAGCAGATGCTGAAAGGCATCTTAAATCCGTTACCAAAGTACACCATTGCAAGTACCAGCCGTGGCTTGATGTCAAGTCTGGTCAGTTCAAGTGCACACCATGCGTTGCGGCATCGCAACACGGTAGCTGGACTGGTGCTCTGGTGGGTCTCTCGCCAGGAACTGCAGGCAATAGATGCACCGTTCCCAAAAACTTCGTGACAGGGCAATCCCTCGATGTGCTTAGCGCAGGTGACACACGAGTCGCCAGCCAAGCTACTTTGAACCCGAGTCCTGGGCTATTTTGTGTGCTGTCATGGCATCGTGAAAGCTTCTCCTCTTTACACCTCCGCACAAGTCAGTGGGAAGCCAGGCGTGGAGCCAGGTCTGTGCTCCATTCGAAGCCTCGTGGCCCACAGGCAGTACACAACTGATATTAGACCGGTCATGCGCCCCATGGAGTTGGCGCAGTGGTTCCCCGGTTTTTGAAAATGAAGCGGACGAAGTGTTCTCCAACTTGTCGAAGCAAAACAATGAGCACAATACAATGAGCTGAAGCAACACATGCAACAACACAAACACATGCACAATCAACCAAAGTCGGGCTAAACAAAACAAAGCGCCATCAAAAGAAACAAAACAAACGAGCCATCTCAAAACGTGAAACAAGAGCAGTCAACAACGGGAAGGTAGACAAACATAATTCCAGAGAAACATGATACAATTCAACCAGCCCAATCAACATGTAGAAGACATGCGCACCATGAATCACACAACAGGTAGCAACATAAGAGGACCACCGTCAACCATGCAAAAAGGCAACCAACCCCACTCAACCATACATGAGCTCCGTCATATGGTTGAAGGGTAGGGTGTTCCCACCTCGTCCTCCAACCCTGCACTGAATTGCACTCTGCACCCGCTTGGACTCATTGACCTCCTGTTCTATCGCCGCATGTTTGTCATCTCAGCCACCGAATATGTCGGCCCCTCGGTGTTTTTTTTTTGGGGGGGGTCCGCCTTGTTTTGCACTGAATTCACTATTTTACAAACAACAATGTGTCCTCGGGCTTTGCTGCAGTCTTCCGTAAATACAGGCACTCGCTCGCATGAAAATAACAGACACCAAAGAAGTCCACCTATGTCATATCGCTTTAAACAACAACTCCAACAAGTCAAACACTAACCGTCGCTAACCATTCAAACCAGACTAAGCATGTAACACAAAACCAAGCAGATCAAATATCAACAAATACAACCGGCAGCATTCAACCCAACCCAAATATTGCAACACTGCAATGCAGTCCGACAACACACGTCAAACAACAATGAACCCGATTCAAACACGAACCAAAGACAAACAATGAAACAACAAATTGGTGGCGCAAACAAACATTGACTCGACTCACAAATGTAAACTCACAACAAATAATTGAACAACAATATGTAACAAA